CGCTGCCCAAGGGCGGCTAGAAGCGTGTTTATCGCGTCCGAAGCGGCGCCGCGCACCTGCGACCGGGGTGGGGCGAGCACGGCGCGTCCTGCGGCCCTGCCCTGCCCAGGCCCTGCCCTGCCCAGGCGCGCTCTGCTTTCGCTTTTGTTGTGGCGGCAGGTGCGGCGTGGCGTGGCGTAGCAGGGGAACGAACGACACTGCAGCTGCGACCAACTTCTGGCGCCATTTTTAAAACCTGCGTCGTCGCGGTGCGCCCCGCAATCATCAGCACCCACGACGACGACGTCGACGCGGAGCAGGGCGACGCAGAGAGGAGGCGTTACGTGGGCGGAAAAAAGGGAGAAAAAGGGGGGGGGGTCTGAAAGGTGTTCAGGTTATGCGCCTGACTCTGGAGGCGCTGGGTATGACAAATGCAGCGGCGAGGCTTTGCCGCGAGCCGCCACACCGCACCGCAGCGCTGGGCTCAGGGCGGGGCGGGGCGGGGGCACTCGCCGCCAGCCGATGGGGCGGGGCGGGGTGATGAAGAGCGGCGCGGAAGTGACAGTTTGCTGGCAGTGTAGCCAGGTAGATAGGTATGTAACTACGGAGGGTCCCGTTAAGGCGAGGGCCCCCTTCCCCCCCTCCCCCTCGACGCACCCACGGCGCGGCGCTGCGCGGCCGGAGCAGAGCCGAGCGTGGAGTTGAGCCCAAGGCGGCCTGGCTGGCTGGCAGGGCTATGGCTCGGTTCGACGGGCTGGCCAGGCTGAGAGGGCGAGGACCCGCGGGGCCCGGCCGCCGTTGCGCCAGAAGCAGTACAAAAGCAGCATGGCACACCTGGCACCGCACGGAGGGCCACACGCGAGAGGACGGACGGTCCTCGCGCCGCCACGGTCAACAGCGTGTTTTCGTGTTAAATAAATGGGAGCAATTTTCAGGCCATCATGCCGTCGATCTGGCCGCGGAGAGCGGACAATCGTGCGGCGCCGCCGCGGAGCTGACTGCTCGGCGCTTTTGGCGACCGGGGCGAGCGTCATGTGATGTGACAGCTCTGCGGGCGGAGCGGAGAGAGGAGGAGGAGGCAGGGGGCGGGGCGGGACCGAAGGCGGTGGTACCTGTCCGTGCCAGGTACCCGCGCGCGCGGGTACTCGCGGGGCACCGACAGCCAGCGCAGAGCCGCTCTCTGGTGTTCGGAAATCGCAATCGCAATGTCAAGTTTCACGACCCTGCCCCGCTGCGCGCGCAAAGAGTGTCCCGGCTATTCGAGCAGCGACGTTATTATTGTGGCCGGGATGCTGTGCCGTTTATTGCACTGGCGTGCCCTGATGCAGGGCGTCTAGGACCAGTTTCGAAAGGATGGGCGAGCGGGTCTATGGTCTTTTGCCCCGCAGAGGCCAAGTCGACCATTCCGTCGTGGCAACGGCATGTGGCTTGAAGTCGTGAAAACGCCAAAAATGCGTTTGTGGTAAACACCACGCTCTCCATCTGTGCTGTTTGCAGTTGGGAAAGTATCGTCCGAACCGATGGGGCAGCAGGTGGTCCGGAAGACCGATCAGGCAAAGCGTTTGCGGAAGCAAACAAAACGCCCGAACTGCTTTAGCTATTCGAGTGTGCGACGTGACGTGCAAACATTTGCGAAACGCGCACGGCATTGAGCAGCGCGCTAAAAGTCCCCCGCGCGACCACTCGTACGTGTTAACGACGACACTCGCAGCATAGCCTCCGCAATTGTGGACGTCCGGGTTTGCAATTTGCATCCGCCTATTATCTCAAAGTGTAGGCAAGCGCCCGAACGTTCAACATACTTGCGGTCTGTCAAGTTTGCACGGTTTGCACAGTACTAGAACGCGCGCCAGGCACCGATGGTCCCCTGGCTCCGTAGTTGCTGCGCGGCGGAGAGTCTGCAGGTAATGCACACCACCACCACAAGACCAACTGCAAATCCATTATTGGCGATCTGCGATCTCTGACCCACGCGGCTCTCCTCGTGGCTGGCTGCTCAGAGAGGCTGCGGTAGTAGTACATCTTGCGGCGCTGCGCTGGCGCTACGCGCAATCTCCATCCCAGCCGGCAGCGCAGCCTCATGCGCCAACGAGCGCCTCAGCCTAAATCACCCCAAAGTTTTGCTTTTGTGCTCGCAAAGTCTCCCCGCCCCGTCTATCTCTCTCCTCGAGCTACGCTACGCCGCGCCACGCCGCGCCCTTGGCCAACAAGCTTACCAACTGCAGTAATTGCAGTCAGACGAGGCTCGGGCGCGTTGCATAGCGACTTGCGTCGCACGGCTCTCTGCGCTGCGCTCTCTCTCTCTCGGCCCGAGCCGCGCAGGCGCGCATCTGCATCGCGGTGGGAATGCGTCGTCGTGCCGCCGCCGCGGGGCGCCTGTCGCCAGGCCATCAGCTCAGCTGACCAGCATCTCGCGTGGCTCATATTTTTTTAAAATTTTGTTTTTTTCCCCTCCGGCTTTATGCAGCAAATAAAAAGTGTCATACATAACACGTTCTTTGTTACACAAAACTGACACCGGCACAAAGCAGCAGGTCGTCGTCGTCATCACAAAATTTCTCACTTTTGCGATGTAATTTAATCTATGGTAACTGTGCGATATGTGTGACCCGAATTTTACTATTCTGCACGGGGACGATCGATCGTTCAGCATGAATCTGACACATTTCTAATCGGCGGCCCGATGTTGTGGCGGCGTAATGAAAGGAAAGAATTTCTTCGACATCTTGAGGAATCCGAAGGCTTTGTCCTTCTGTTTGTTTTCCCCACCTTGCCCGATCTCGCCGGCGGCCGGAGTGGCGCGGCGTGGAGCGGCGCGGCGTGGGCGCTATGCAGGCATTCTTCAATAGTGACTTGTCGCCGCCGGGCCGCCCCTGCAGGTGTGCGGCGCCGAACAGCAAGGTAAACAAATCATACGGAGTGGAGTCGAGGAGAAGGCGGGAGGGGAGTGGAGGGGCAGG